TCACCCACTTCTGGTCGCCTCTGGCCTGGGAGTCTGGTTGTTTGTGTCCTGAGATGGTTTTCAGACCTCTCCAGACTCAGCTGACGTCGCTCTGCTGCAGCTGTTCCTCCATCTTCTTTTTGTATCCTTCCTTTCCCCGCCTGATGTTTCTCCGTAGCGCCTTCTGCGCGGCCTACAGCTCCTCCTTATTTCCAGAGTTAAAAGCTCTCCGCTTCTCCTTCAGGAGAGCTTTTAACTCTGGAGTAATCCAGGGTTTGGTGTTGGAGAAGCAGCGTACAGTCCTGGTGGGTACGGTGCTTTCCACACAGAAGTTTATGTAGTCCGTAATGCATGATGTCATACTGTCAATATCCTCCCCATGGCAATCACTGAGTACCTCCCACACAGTGGCCTTGAAGCAGTCTTTCAGGGCCTCCTCGGCCTCAGAGTCATCAGAAAATTTCTGAAGATGGCAGGTCTCAGTGCAATAGCTGAAGTCCGTGGTGTAGAGGGTGAAGAGGAAGGGAGAGAGGACAGCTGTCAGCTTGTCACCCAGTAGAGCTGGACGGATGGTGTTGAATGCACTAGAGAAGTCAAAAAACATGACCCTCACAGTGCTCGCCGGCTTGTCCAGGTGGGCGTAGACGTGATTGAGCAGGTAGATGATGGCGTCCTCAACTCCAAGTCAGGGCTGATAGGCGAACTGGAGGGGGTCCAAAAGTGGCTTGACCGTGGGCCGGAGCTGCTCCAAGACGAGTCTCTCCAGGGTCTTCATGATGTGGGAGGTCAGTGCCACAGGTCTGTAGTCTCTGGAGCCACGGGGACACGACGTCTTTGGCACAGGAACAAGGCAGGATGTCTTCCACATCATGGGGACCCTCTGGAGACTCAGGCTCATGTTGAAGACATGCTGAAGTACTCCACATAGCTGGGGGGCACAGGGGCACCCTGGGGCTGACACCATCAGGGCCTGCAGTCTTATTTGAGTGGAGTCTCATCAGCTGTCTTCTCACATGGTCAGCAGTGAAGCACATTGTGGAGGTGATGACACGTGGGGGAGGGGTGTAGTCCTCATGATGGAGAGTGCAGTCAGTCTGGCCACGGGGGGAGGAGGTGTGAGGAGGGCTCAGGCAGGAGGCTGTTGGGGTGTGAGAGGGAGGAGTGGGGGAGGAGGGTGGAGTGGGTGATGGTTGTCCAAGACAGACAGCAGAAGAGTCAGAGGGGGGATGGGCAGGGCCAGCAGTGTCAAATCTGTTAAAAAACAGATTCAGTTCATTGGCCAACAATATGAGAGAGGTCTGGAGTGGACTGAGGACCATCACTGGCTTCGGGACCAACAACAACAGACTCTGTTGTTGTTGGTCCTGAAGCCAGTGATGGTCCTCATTCCACTCCAGACCTCTCTCATATTGTTCTGCTGGAGTTTCCACTCCAGCTTCCTCCTGTACCTCTCCTTAGCCTCCCTGATCTTCATCTTCAGCTCCCCTGTATTGTTCTCACCTCCCTGTTACCAGCTCTGAAGGCCCTCTTCTTTGCATTGAGGATGGCTTTGATGTCCTTTGTTACCCACGATTTGTTATTTGGATAACTATGGACAGTCCTGGCTGGGACAGTGGAGTCCACACAGAAACTGATGTAGTCCGTGATGCATTCTGTGAGCCCATCAATGTCCTCCCCATGTGGCTCACAGAGTGCCTGCCAGTCTGTCACACCAAAACAGCTCTGCAGTGTCTCATAAGCCTCCTCCGACCATCTCCTCACTGTCCTCATGGTCACAGACAGGCTCCTGACTAGTGGTACATAGCAGGGGTTGAGGTGCACCAGGTTGTGGTCTGACCTATCCAGAGGGGGGAGGGGGGAGCAGCTGTATGCATCCTTGGCGTTTGCATACAGCAAGTCCAGTGTTCTCTCTTCTCTGGTAGGACAGCTCACATACTCAGTACATTTACATGCACAGCTTAATCGAGCTATGCTCAAAATTCGATTTTGGCGTCTAATCAGACTTCTGTCCTTGTCCCAGTTTTCATGCAACTGAGAAAATCGAATTACTGACGGGAACATGTCCTCCTCCTCAACACTAGGTGTTGTTTCAGCGGGTTAATACGGCCCCCTTTCCGGTTGACCTATTACGTCACTTAATAATAAACAACTGGAGTCAGGCGGCCGACCGGCATTTTCGAACAACAGCAAGATGAATAATCATACAGCTTTGTTCATCTCGTACATAATGTACGAGTTACTGATTTTGCAGATAAGGTGCACACTATCCCTCGTGGTCATGGTGATTTCGAGAGGCAGACAAGAACGCTGTATGCTGTTGGAGGGCTACAACAATAGCATGTCTTGTCTGTTCCGGGGTCATACGCCAGTGCGGGGGGTGTGGAGCATGCGCACATGCATTGTCTAGTTTAACTCCGATTACGGCGTATACATGCTGGAGAAAATCGAATTCCAATCGCATTATCTGGGTGTCTTAATTGGAGTTGGAGAATTCCGATATTAGTTGGAGTAACGTGTTTACATGCACTTCAGTTGTCCAGTTATAGTCGGATTAAGGCAATGATTCGGTTTTTTCAAGTCTCAAGGTGGGCAATGTTGTTGCCACGGTGACATGGTTGAAGTCACCCGAGATAGCTATGAAGGCACTCGGGTGTTTAGTCTGCAGGCGGGCTATGGCGGAGTGAATGACGTCACATGCCGACGTTCGGTTGGCAGATGGGGGGATGTAAACAGTTACAATAATGGCATGTGAAAACTCCCTTGCAAATAATACGGCCTGAGTCCAACAGCAAACAGTTCAATGTTCGTGCAACAGATATGTTCCTTAATATTAATCCCTGAGAATAATGCCCAACAACATTGCTCAAAAAGTTGCTCTCTGTATCGTCAGTCCAACAGTTGTGTTGGTGAGTCAAAATGAATGAGGGCTGCGCAATTTTAGACAAAACTGACAATGCAACGATTTTTTATACTGCGATATGTACTGCAATATACAGTGTATTGCAATAACTTGAGTAACTCTATTTGGAAGGAAGTCTTCATTTGGGCTTTGGAAAGGCTGTATTTGCGTGAAATAGACATTTTACAATCAAACTGTCATGGAAATTGAGAACTTCACAACCTAAAGTATTAACCAGCAAAATAAGTATGGCATATTGCCTTTGACTAATATTATAGTGATATGATGAACTTATACTGCAAGTTTCACAATGTGACTATTGCACAAGAACACATTGCGATGGTGTTGCTCTAATGATATTGTGCAGCCCTAAATTGAATTGAATTCTATGGTTCATCATAGAAAAACAACCAGTTTTTGGATTGGATTTACAGTATGACCCCTGTGCCATTTTTGCACTGCATAGGAGTGACCCCCATCAAGTTGTTGGAAGTAACTTCTACTTTAAGTACATTTTAAACAAACTACTTTTTACTTTTACTTGAGTTGATTGTTAGATGGGGAGCTTTACTTGTACTTAAGTAGAATTTCAAACGTACTTTTACTCGAGTAGAATTTTTCAGTACTTTTTCCACCTCTGGTTAACACTACTATCTAACGTAAGCACTGTAACCTTATTCTAAAACTCATCAGTCATCACTGACTCCGGTTGAGTTTTAAAACTCCAGGGTTGCGTTTGACTGTCTTGTTTTTAATTTTTTTTTTTTTTTCTTTTTTGTTTATCTAACTTTACCTTGCCAACGCCTACGTCTATCATAGACGTAATGAGGACGTAATGGAGGAGGGGGGAGTAGGCCTTTGGAGGGAGGTGGAGTTGCAGGAGGAGGGGGACGGGACTTTGGAGGGAGGCGGGAGTTTTTTCTAAGCGCTGTGTGAAATGCAAGAAGGGTAAGAGTAGCTTTAAAAGAGTTAATGTTTTATGAAATAGCTTGTCTTCACCCTGACATTTTCTGGTGCTCAGATGACCAAAAGCTAAAATGGTTGTTCAGTTTTGATGTGTTTAAGTTTGCCAATTCGTTGCTAAAACCTGGAAGAGAGGGCAAGAAAGTTTGTTTTATTGGTATTTATTTTGATTTATTTTTTTAGTTTTACACAATAAATGCCATTGTGAGTGATCCATGAACTTGGTCTTCCAAAAATGAATTTGAATTTATGTTTGCTGGACTCTGACCTTGGCTTGCTCTGAATTTATGGTGTCTTGTAAGCCCGTGGGGGCTGGACATAACTGCTTGTATGACACAATAATAAAAATGTATTCATTCATTTATTCAGTGAAAAGAAAATGAGAATGTACAGTTCACTACAGTACATCATATATCACTATGATTACTCAAATTTGCACTTTTATATCTAAGGTTGTTTCAGCTAGTAAATTGTGTAACAGGGAATATCTACTATGCATGAAATTTCCAATTTGTAAATAACAAAAGAAATGGGTCAGTGGAATATCACATTAAGAGGTCAGTGGAGTAAATCCATTACTGTGCCATATAGATCCAGTATTTGCCCCAAAAAAGTTTAAAGTCAAAAAAGAAAACAAATTTGTGTTGCTGAACTTTGTTTTTCTTTGTTCCTGCACCATTACACATCTTACCATATCTCAGTTTTATCTGGTGACCCTTTGGAGGTCACCAGTGTTTCCTGATCCCTTGGGTGAGAAATCCTCTGGTGGGTGGGGCTGATTTATGGTAGACATGAGATGAGCTGCACCTTAAAAACTGTCCTACGTTAGACTTATTTTCTGGTGCGGGAGTCAAAGAAATGTCACAATGTAGCAAAGGAAGACTTGTACACAGAACAAAAAAAGATTCAGACTGAAGTCTGTATTTCAAAAATCTCCATTTGACATGTTGCAGGGCGTCACAGACAGTGAAAAAATGTGCAAATGTGCATAGAGAGCAAAAAGTGCAAATGTTTCAGTCCATGTGCAGATTCTGCACTGAGGAAGTCCAACATGGACTGAAAATTAACATCACACAATGCAATATGAAAAATAGAAAGCTATTAGCTCCATGAGAAAGAGACTACTTGTATAAGATGTGTCATTTACTGGTTTCTGTAGGAGGACCTGAAAGCCTGGACTTCAAATATCACCACCTGTATAGCTGAGCATGAGGCCATTGCCAAGTGGGACAAGCCAGGCACCTCATCCATGGACCCTGACCACTCGGAGAGGAAGGAGAAGTCAGAGGGGGATGCAGATGCCAGGTCAGAGAGGTCTGAGCTGGCTGAAGGAGAGGAGAGGTCTGAGAAGGAGAGGTCAGAGAAAGGGGATGGCTCTGAGAAGTTAGACACATCAGAGATTGCCGACAAAATGGAGGGCGGGGCAGGGGGCTCCAGCACGTCTGGAAAAAGCAAATGAGGAGCACTTTGTGTTTTAACATTACTCACTGACAAAAGGCGTAGGAGGCAGTGGGTGGGAGGGATGGATGGAGAGCATGTGCAGCTAGGTTTTCAGATCCTCAGTCACACAGCTGGAATACACTGAGGCCATGGTCTTTGGACTGACTATTGTTACTGTGACAGACTAATCTCTCAGCCCCTCCCCTTCACCCAGGCAATACATCAGTGCTTGCATTGTGCCACCTGCTGGTAGATGGGAGGTTGGCTCAGACAGACTGACAGACAGACAGACAGACAGACAGACAGAAAGACAGACGCCAACAAGTGGTCCCAGGAATTAGTCACTGTCACGTCCCATCCTTGATCGTTTAATCTCTTGGATTCACAGCATCTTTCTGTATGTATCTTTGACTGATAATGTAATGCTCTGTCTAGCTAGACAAACCTGAGAAGTGGGGAATGAAATGTTTCACAATATCAAAAAAAGAAAAAAAGGTTTTTTGAAGCAATATACTTTTTTATTTCTTCTCCTTGTTAAAGAGAGAAAAGGGGAAAAGGAAACATGAAATAATTGCAAATGTGAACTGTGATTTGTCACATCCACGTAAGCTTACTCCAGGCAGTTGTGCACCTTTAGACACTTGACACATCTGTATACTAATCATAGTGACATTTAATCCCATCACATGGCTAGCTTTGAATCATGTTAATATAATGGAATGCTGGTGTTACCCACCTGACTTCATTGGTGTAAATGAATACACAGTTCTATACAGTTTATTTTCTGTTTTTATTATCATTATCATTATTATTATTATTATTATTGTTATTATTATTTGTCCACAATGATCCATGTCAAGAAAAGAGCTTCCATCAAATTCTAATCCAAGGTGTGTTCAAAGTGGCAATGCTCAAATTAATACTAAGCCTATGTGACACAATGCTTTGTATACATGACAAAAATCCAAACATTGCATGACAAAGTCTATTAGTGCACTTGTTAAAGTTGCCTTTTTTATGTTCATGATATAAGTTAGGCAGTATTGGAATTGCAATAGTTTAATGTGAGCGGGGGGAAAACTGTAGTTTACTATCTTGGTCCACATCTGAAAATCAAGAGGTAAGTCTGGCAATGTAGGGTTGTCTTCTGACTGCTGTACGCATGTGACGAAAGGGATGTTTCTTTGGGGGGTGGGGGTGAAACCTAGAGAAGTGACTCGTCCTTGAGCTGTAACGTGAATTAAGAAGCCAGATGGCCCCTCTGCTGTTTGTACTGTATTACTGCAATGTATTTTCCACAGAATGTATTGATTTCAACTGTGAAATGTTCAATCACCACCAAGTCTGTGGTGCCCAAAATTGTAAAACCCTGAAACAGTTCAGCGAGAGTTAAGCCTCTCTGTACCCTGTGTCTTTAATTTGAAGTTGAAATTAATTGGAATCTCTCCATCAAAGGCAAGTTAAATGTAAAACTGTCATGATCCAAGTCATGAATTGTATATACCTATCTTTGTATGTATACCAATAAATCCTGTGCTCTAATAAAACAATACTCTGAACTGAAATGGGTAAAACTAAAACATTTGTATTAATCCACAAATAAAAACAGTCATCACTCAGATATATAAATGTTTATTAAATTTAAATGAAAAATATGCAAATTAGGGGCCACTATAAAATATCATAGTGTATATAAGTACACCAGTATCTAGTTGTATGAAACACCTTTTACCAGGAAAGAGCAGCAGGACATACTGTAAGTATGCTTGTTGTATTTTTATATGCCTATATTCATTCATATCAGATCCAGGAGTTGCCCCGCAGCCCCAGTAACAACTTGTACAAATAACTGATCAGTCAGTAGTCAGTGTGTCTGTGAGAGGTGTGGTAAAATTATATATTACCACCAAGAAAAAATCAACTAGCCTGGACAGTTCAGTACATGCTCCCCCCCATAACTGAATTATTGGTGACTAAACTGAAGTACAGTATGCTGTGATCACAGACATGAACAGATATTAGTCCACTTATTGTTTGTTTGTCATGTATGGCAATTATTTTTACATATACAATCAAAATTTCCCTAATGTCAGTAAAATGTAGCCACATTGTACTCACATTAAAGATCCTCTCAGACTGCACCTCAGATATGTTATAAAATGACTTCTTAACAGTCTTCCTTTCTATAAAAACACCAAAAGTATATTTTAGATGCAACAGTATTTGAATTCACTGAGTTGAGGATTGTAGTGACGGTGTGCTGTATCTGTCTGTATCACTGCAGCCTTCAAATGAGTTGAATGAGAATAGATAAGCTATTTTATGGTGTGAATGTTCTTTTAATTTGTAAGTCACTGTTTGTTTTTACATAAGTGCCATGTCATGCAGTTTGATGACACAGTGCTTCAGAAGAGAAAACGCCTGGTTATTGAAACATAAATAACAGCAGTGAGCCTGTCATGGCAATACATATTTTTATCATTGAAATAGGAGCTAGAGTATTTTCATGTGGCTGTAACTGTTCTGATTAATCGCTCACGGCAGATATTTAGCCCGCATCACCATATGCGTTTTAAGTGTTTGCTTCCCATCACTTTTATGAAACACAGGGGGGATTTTTTTCCACTATGTTATAACAGTAACAGAACTTAAATAGACAGCATAAACCGTAACTGAGGAAAAAAATATATTGTGCAAACTTTGTTTCCTTCATTGATGGTCTTACAAGTGTGTATGTCGTTGTTACTTTACATTACAAGTTGCTGCTATGACATTAAATAAACCTCCAAACCTGCTGATGCAAACTTGACGTGCAATTGATGTGGACACACATGCTGGTCACAAACATGCACGCACTCACTCACACACACACACACACATACACACACACACACACACCTGACGGAAACAGTTTCTACTACAAGCTGAGTGGTTCTGTACTCAAATGCACATTCTTGAAACTGATAATCACCGTTTACTGCAGCTCTCTCAATATCCATTATGGGGAAGATTTCACCTGAAAAGAGGCAACATTATTATGACTTACAGTAATGTTTGTAGGTATGACATTAATATGTAAACACATTACACCAATACTCCAATTAAAATGATACAAATGTGCTTTTTATAGACATCAGAGAGTGTGTGTGTTCACATAGCCCCCCCAGAGTTAGAGTTGAACTTGCCTTCATACTGACACCACTTCAGGACTGACTGCTGGAAATCAACTGAAGGGCTGGTGTTTTCCAAATTGTGTTCATGTCAAGGGGTTCTCTAAATGCTTCACATCCATCCCACTTGCTTCTGTACATACAGTAATTGCTACAACAACGCTAACATTTTTATGCTGTATTTATGGCTTTCCTATAGCAGTCAGTGAAAATGCTAAATCTCATCCAAGATACATACATGCAGTTTGAAATCAAATGTGAGTGGACATGAATAATTTAGCAGAGTAAAATAAAGGTTCATGCAACTTTTGTGTTGCACTAAAGTGAAGCCCCATGCACAGTGTATGACAGTGGTAGTGATGCAAGGTCTATTCTGTAATAAAACACAAAACATACATACATGAATACAGTATTGCACAAATTCTGCACAACTTGATGTATGTTTTAAGAATGTACATTTTAAATATGATGTGTTTATTAAATTGAATAACATCTGCCAATATCTGTCTGTGGAAAAATGAAAATGAAAGATGGTATTGTCTCATAAAATCTGTTCATCTCTTCATTTTGCCATTGTCTTTTTTCCCCTCTGTAGGTTTGTAGCATGGCCAGTAGGGGTGGGGGATATAATCAGTTCTTAGATGAATCGTGAGGCGGATGTGGACGATTTGGCATTGATTTACAAATGCCAATAATCGATTATCTCGATGTAATAACGTGATGTTGACGGGACGAAAGTAGACTCACAAGTCAGTCTTTAGACGCTTTGCTTAACTAAAGACTGATGACTTTCTCCCTGATTTTGTGTTTAGATGGGCAGATACAGTTTCAGAGTTTAAAAAAACTCCCTACGTTGCAGAACCAATAGTAAATCAGCAGGGCGGTCCTTCGGTGGCTCGCTGAACTCTTGTGCTCGTAAATATAGTCCGACTGCGTTAAAAGTTTAAACAAAGTCGCGGTAAGTCCTTCATTTCCACAATCTTGTGGACTGAGCACACGTTTGATAAAACAGAGTTAAATCTCTCGGCATCCATTTTCAAGCTCTCTGTTTGTTTGTTTCCTTGCGGACGAGAAAAGGAGGAGCGCTCCTTTTCAAAAATGCAAGAAGGGTTGTTTTGTTGCCGGCCGTTTTCTCTGGTGTGTTAAACACACTTTAGTCCCCAGACTATCAGAAGGCGGAGATCTCTGATTGTCTGGTGGCAAGACTAGGACGAAAGAGGCAGACCTCAACTAGGAGGGCAGTGCAGCTCCTGGACAGTCTACAGCATAGACATGCTAGAGTTAACTTGCAATCATGTTTACAAAAGGCAACTATTGCAAGCTTGTTTTAATTTAATATCGCAAAAATTACATTTGCAGGTCAAATGTGATGTATGTTGTAAATACTTCTTTCGCCATCATCCAGACACTGAGGTTACCAGAGTGGAGCGGTAATGTTAACAAATAAGACTGGCTGGCCAACACATGCTGCAGCACTGAACAACTTAAACCAACTCTGTGGTGAAGAAAATAACTCTGCTCAGTCTATTTCACCTCAAAAATCTTTTGCCCACTCAGCGTCTTGTCTTTCCCCAGCGCTCACAGAGAGAGAGCCTTGCTGCTCCGTTGCTGAAGACAAGTCTATTTGAACAACAGAGCAGGGCACTCCGCCTACCCCTCATTTTGATATGTTCATACGGACAGGAGACTGTAAGGTGCTTCCATAATAAATTAATGCATACATTTTACTTTTTAAAATATAAAAGGCTACAGGCCATTTATTATTCAACATGAATTGAATACTATTTCTGGCAAAATATCACAGTATGCAAACACTGGACAATATGCCGGCATAAATATCACACAGTGGATTAGTGTCAGTAGCCACAGATGGATACAATCCATCTGGCACTCCTCAGTATGGAAGCATTTGGCTTCTAGGGGTGGAGGATATTTTCATGTGGCAATATCATATTGTCACACAGTGCCAATTATTGATTTCTTTTAATAAATTATTAATATTACAAGAGACTGCAATTCTGAGGAGCTGTCTGTTCAAGAGTGTAGTCTTTGTCACCAGCCCACTACAGACTATAATGATGCATGGCTGAGCTGAAGATGGTTCGTTTCAGGGGTCCCATCTATTCATGAACAATGTTTTCCTTCTCCTGCAAACAACACATTTCATTATCTATTTCTATTCTTCTTATTTGTAATGCAGAAAGTGAGTCAACACTGGAACATTCGTGTGCTGAAGAAGCAAATTTTCTCTGTACTCACCTTAAATCTCAGTTTAACACCTGGACGGACTAGCAGGATTTATGAGATCACAATTACTTTGGAGCCAGCTGTGGTCCAGTTTGAAACTTACACAAATGTGATGTGGACACTTGAGGCCTCCAGTGCACATGCACTGAGAATGGACTGAACAGTGAAGTAGGAGGCATCATGTGTCCAGCAATTCAACTTTTGACAGCGAAAAATACTTGGATATTGATAGATTCAAGATTTGTTGATGAGAGAAAAGGAGTAGTCTGGATGTCATTCTAAATAATTTTTAACACGGTGACTGACCATGTTGGGAAAGTTATCTGACAAATTTGTGATGAGTAACAATGTCCAGCATGATGGAAAAAAACTGTTAGCTTAATGTTACCTGACAACTGAAATCATGCCCATACACGTTTGTCAGCTAACGTTACAACCTGTTACTAACCTAACCTGTTACATTGAGCGATAGGCCTACACTAGAAGGATGCAGTCGAAAACATATAGCTAGATTATCATACCCTGTGTGTAACTATACGTGTCTTACCCTTATTGATCCCGTAGTTGAAATTGTCTAGGAGCAGGAGCACGGATGCAAAATACCTCCATGAGCAGAGGGGTAGCTATTCCAGGTAGGAGGTTCAACAAACTCTGAGTCTAACCTTGAACTCTGAGTTGATTTACCCTGAGATGGGAAACTCTGAGTTACCGGTTCCAGAACAGCTGATTTGAGTTAGTTCAGTCAACTCTGAGTAGGCCTATGTTCACTCTGAGTTAAGCCGACAATAAAAAGCCATCATCAATGGAGCTCCGATTCCACGATTCACCATGGCAACGGGTAAATAAAAGACAGCACCTCCATTTTAATCCAGTGGATGTAGGGATATCAGTGCATGTGTAGCAGACGGTGCACATTTATCTTTAAAAGGAGAGCCTGAGTCAGAGCGAGGAAAGTGTAAATAAGTTAACCATAAAGTTAATAAAAAAAGTTTTATTCAGTGTTGTCCATTTATTCATCATTTATCAGACTTACATTTCCTTAATGAAGATAAAGTTGTGGAATCTGACTGTGTATCAGGCTGTAGATACATTAAATTACATTATATTAATAATATATAATAATATATTTGTTCAAATTTAATCTAATGGGGAAAAACACAGGAGGCAGCAACTGAAAAATAGGTTTGGTGATTTGCACTTGAAAAGACGTTGAGGTTGAAATACAGTAGATTTTAAAATGTTGGACATCTATTTGTATCTTGACTCAACAGCATTCAGTGACTTTATTTCACCTACAAATGTAGTAAATTTAAAGACACTGAAATGCTGCACCATTGCTCACTCAGAAATATTAACATATAATCCCCAATATTAGGCTATAGGAATTATGTTCCATCAGTGTGACCAATGACATCAGTGATAGAGATCATTAGTCATTGATACTACGTGTCTAAATCTTCATACTGATTTTTAAAATTTAAATAATTAGACCTACACATTATGTGCAATAAACATTTGGGAGTTGCTCTGACAGACTGACAGTCTGATCCTTGTGCACAAATAATAAATATAAAAAGGACAGAGGTTTGATTCTGAGCTGAGGGTGAATTCTCGCTGTGTAATATTTGAATTTAAAGACAAAAACTGATGTTCAAAGAAATGATTGATGTGCATAAATTCAGTATAAATTCAGTAACTTAAGACAGTCCTGAGTAACAAACTAATATCCAGCAGGACGTAGACTGTGACAGACGGTAAATCTCCGCTAATTAACGCGCTTTGATACAAGCTTTGACACGGACTGAATGAATGAGGAAATGAAACAGCGTGTAAGAGGGAGGAGACAGAGAAAAACTCATCGTTTATTGAAGAAAACCTGCCAGCGAGCAGGTTAGGTTCACAGACTCAGTTGCCATGGTGATTGACTCAGTTTGATTTAGGCTACCTCTCTTTCTGGAACTGAAAACCCAGTTTTTCCCTCATTTCAGGGTTAACATACTCAGAGTCTTCACTAAACCCGCTTTCTGGAATACTCCTCAGGAGTCACCGTGGATGCAGGGGTCACTTGCAGGTGCCAAGTGTGAGCTTCTCGCCAGATTTTGAAGTGTCTTGTCTGCTCGTTCAGGAAAAAAAATTACCACGAAAAACAGAAAAAAAATACCCCCAAAAACAGAAACAATTACCACGAAAAACAGAAAAATAAATAAATTACTCCAAAAAACAAAAAATTACTCAGAAAAACAGGACTTTTATTTGTCAAGTGAATGCAATACGCTTCCATACATTTCCTATGAAAGCTGAAGTGTATTTTGAAAACAGACATTGCACGTAACAGGCTGAAGTTGACACGGACTAATCAGACTAAGTCTTCAGCTATATCGAAACAATACATGGATTGAAGAACAGGAAGCAATTAAGACAGTGGAATGTGTAAAGCCTTCTTTAACTCATGGTTGGATGAATCTGTTGTGATTCAGAAATCGAAAATTATACAATAAGGAAAGTTCGAAACAGAAAAGGAGGAGGAATATGTGTGTATATAAGAGTGTATATAGCATTTAATGCCAGATCTGATTTGAATAACGACCTAATTGAGGCTATATGGCTGGATGTGTTACTTGATAAATCTAAATGCATCTTATCTGGGGCCTGCTACCGTCCACCAGATCAACACAATTTTTTGAACTGCTGGAGGAAACATGCTGTAACTGCTTTGATTTTATAAAAGCAGAAGTCATCATCACCAGTGATTTAAATAAGGACATTTGCAATAAACACACTAACATTTATAAAAGTTTCAGAAATTTCTGTCAGCTGTTTGGCTTACATCAGTTAATTTCTGATCTTACTAGAGTTACATCTACTACACAATTATTAATTGATCTTATTGTTTCTAATCCCCTGAACATTTGTAAATCTGGTGTAACTGAATGCTGTCTAGGTGATCATTTTCTTATATAAGCCACTCGAAAGATACAGAGAAATATTTTTAAATGTCACAATACTAAAACTATGAGATCTGTAATAAACCTTTTTTTGATACAAGAAATAGGCACCTGTACTTGAGTGTGAAGTGTACAGACAGAAGGAGGGAACCACGAAGGTAAGTCAAACAATAATCAATCTTTATTTCACAGAATTAAATTCATTTAAGGAACACCTCCACTAGTAGATGAGATCCTGAATGAACCCTAGGCTTCTCCTCAGAACCACCCCTGGACCAGCAACATGCATGTGTAAGGGCACAAGCCAACGAACCCCATAAGGCACTGCAAAACTGTCACTGTACTGCAACTTGATAAACACACTGCAACTCACACCATATTGCACTACAAAACACATCAAATCACACTTTGGGCTAAGGGCTCCCTTAGGCACCTGTGGGTACGCTTGCGGCTCGCTCGGCTCTCCCTAAGAGTGAAATGCTGCCCTAGTTAAAACCACTAACAATAACACACACAAGAAAACACTTAAACACACAGATAAATGATGGTTAAAAAGCTACTTATCTTTCCCAAGGTTTGAGACCCTCCCCTGGGGTCTGAGCTTTGGTGCGGGACGGCCACTGGGAGTAACTGTGGTGGGGGAACCAGCCAGTCCAGGGCAGCGAGGCGACTCCACAGGCTGCAGGAGAGCCTCTACGCTGGTAGCCCTAAACAGCATGAGAACGACACCCTCCCCCTGAGATCGAGCGCACAACAAACACTGCTTGGCTGGGCTCACCAAGCTCCGCTCCCCAGAGAGAACTGCCGCCACTCTCTCCCTCTTTTCACTCTTACCTGCCACACTCCACACTCACAGCTGCAATCACTTGGCTAATCACCCTCAGTGCCAACACACTCTTCCCTAGCAACGCACTGAGTCCCTAGTAACGTCATTCACTACACTCCTCCCTCACTTAAACTTGACTTGTCCTCAAGTCAGCACATGTCATAGTCTCTAGTCCAGGCCGGTGGCCTCCTCTGTCGACACGGGAGAATCCCCTGCACTGGCTCTTGCCCCCTTAGACTGCATCTTTCCCCTGGAACCTGGCTAGGGGTCACCACACTCTCATGTGATGCTGAACCTCTCACTCACTCTCCTTCCTGGATGCCCTGGCTGGAGCCAAATGCACATGTGGCCTCTAGGTGTGCCGGTGGCTGGGTATTCCGTGTTTGCTCTCCTGTCTGTCATGCTTCTTCTGCCACAACCTGGCTGGGGGCCACTGCTGTTGCTGGCTCCGGGTGAATTGATGGGTGGGCCTCTGTCTCTTGAGAAGGCCCCCCTGGCTTTGAGGCTTGCCAATGGCACCAACCAGCACTATCACTTGCTTGTGGACATCGGCGCACGGTCCTCCAGCACGGTGTGTTCTCCTGGTTGCTTGCCTCTGGAACAGGAGATAGAAAAGGTTTGAGTTTTTTCATCTCAGGCCCTCCCTCAACCAGCACTACACAATAGAGGACATCTGTGAGCCTCTCTACCACCCTGTATGGCCCCTTAAACCTCCTCTGCAACTTGGGACAAACACCCCTCTTCCTAGCCTTAGAACGGACCCGTACCAGCACCCCCTCTGAATAGTAATGCCACTTAACCTTATCAAAGGCTTCCTTCTGCCTACCAGAAGCCTTTATCTGGTAGCCCCTTACTGTGTTCACAACTGTGGACAGTGTGTCTCTCAGCCTCGAAACATACTCCATCACAGAAGACAGCCTATCCTCTCCACCCAGGTTCAGCATAATGTCCACTGGGAGAACTATCTCCTGCCCAAACAAAACCTTATAGGGCATAAACCCTGTGCTTGAGTGTATGCTACTCCTATAGGCCAACATTACATAAGCCAGCAACACATCCCAATTAGCCTGATTTTCTCCCACAAACAAGGACAACATTGACAGCAACGTCCTGTTAAACCTTTCCACCAGGCCCTCTGACTGGGCGTGATAAGGTGTCGTACGAGTCTTATGAATGTTTAGCAGCTGACACATTTCTTTAAACAAGTTTGACTCAAAATTTCGCCCCTGATCAGTGTAAATGGTACAGGGGGCTCCCAAATGACAAACCCACTGCTCTACTAGCATTTTTGCCACTGTCTGAGCTTTGTGGTTGGGGAGGGGAAAAGCTTCTGTCCACTTCGAGAAATAATCTCCAACCACTACAATGTACTTATTCCGACTGGGGGTCTCAGGCCTACCCACTCAAATGGTCTCGAAGCCACTGTGGGCTGGAGGGGAGCACACAACTGTGGTCCGGTGGTTTTACGAGAACCACAGTCCACACACTCACGACACCAGCGCTTGACATCCTCAAACCACCCAGGCCAGTAAAAACAATCTTTCACTTTGGCTTGTAGCTTCTGCACCCCCCAGTGCCCTGCTGTGACTGAATCATGCAACTGTTCCAACACTTTTGGCACCATGGATTTGGGAAGGACAACCTGAATCTGCTGAGCAGCATCTGAGTTTGCAAGCGGTAACCTCACTAGCCTTGCCCCCTGTATCTGCATCTGAGCCCACACCGGTGCAAACCTCTGTAATTCACTCGGAAGCTGCAGACACTCACTCTCACCCCGCTTTAAAGCCATAACCTGTGCTAACTCATCTTCCACCTCTGGACATGGAGGAATGGCTGAACTTGAGGGCTGTGCTGCACATATGGCCTGTGCCACTGGAAACTCCGTTTCTCCCTCAGCTGGAGTGGGTGAGACCGCCGGCAAAAACACGGGCAGCCTAGAAAGTGCATCTGCATTTGAATATGTTCTCCCAGGGCGGTGTACGGTCTTGTACTGAAAGCTAGCCAATTGCTCCAACCACCTGGCTAGCTGTCCCTCAACTCCTTGGAACTGGTGCAGCTACCTTAAAGAGTTGTGATCAGTCCTAAGCATAAACTCCTTGCCTAACAAGTAATGCTTGAAATGTTTTAGTAAATGTGACCACTCAACAGCTCTTTCTTGGTGGTGGCATGTTTTCTCTCGTTTGGTCAGTGCCCTGCTAGCATAGGCTATGACGTGCTCCTGCCCTGCCTCTTCTTGTGACAAAACTGCCCCTATGCCTGCATTACTAGCATCTGTGTCAAGAATGAAGGTTTTGTAGGGGTCAGGATATGCAAGTGTGACCAGGCACAGTATTAAAAGCTAGGCAAGAAGGTCATGTTAGGCCCAACACATGTGTTGACCACCAAATTTAATGAGATTCAAGGAGAGCAGGAGACATGCATTTAGGTGTAAATAAAATATTTCAACGATAATTAAAATTAAACTGTAGAAACCCTGAGGAAAGAAATGGAAACAATTTTAGGTCGAGACCAACAATATTTCTTTGACATAGAATGACTAACAATCTTAGGAATAAAATCCAACTAATTATAAAATGGTCAATGATTGATAAAAACTAGGCAGGTACTTACCGCCGGGTAGATTATATCGTACACCCCACTATAAACCACCAAGTGAGCACCCTGTGATGAACACAATGCAAGCCACGGTGCAGACCCCACATATACTCCCCGGAGCTCGTCCTCTGCCTAAAAGAAAAAAGAAAACAAAATTCAGTTGGCTTAGGTTTACAGAAATAGATAAAACATTTAAAAGCTTCACAGGGGACCAGTGAACATTTTGGCAAACAATAAATCAAGACTGGTAAGTTCTACTCAATCGGCATAGGCCAGATGGTTAAACTTGATCCAGCAAAAGCAGTAGTCTGGCACAGCCTGAAATGAGGAAAACTAGAACTTAAATATATAGAATAAAAAAATACCTCAGAGGGGATAACCCACCTACAGTACCACACAGTTTAAAATATTTAAAATACCTTGCTCAGTCTGGTTCGTGGTTAAAAAGGAACACTGGGAGATTCGCAGCTGGCAGCACTTGGGTCAATCCGAATGAGATAAAAACTCACTATCCTATGGGGTTAAATAAATAGTCAAGGATAGGTCTACATTTAAGAGACAAACTTTAGCAAAATGTGGCCTACTTCCTCAACAATAGGCCTACAGAACATACACTCAGGATCAGTCAGGACACTGCTCCACTAGACCTAGACACAAGAGACTCATAAAATTTCTATTCAAACGGCACAAACATCCCTCCTTAAGAGCTTCCTTACCTGCACACAGACCAACAGCTCCACCACCCTCTACCAAGATACAGGCCAAGAGGCTCTGATTGCCTTCACCTGGCCTTATATAGGCAGGAAGCTCTCCCTACTCCTATCTGCAGAGGGCAGTGTTACCCATTTACCTGTCACCCTCACACAAGAATGGGGGCGGACATCAAGCTCAGCTTCAGCTGCTCAAAGGCTGCCTGAGAAGTCCTCTGTCCACTTAAACCTTTTACCCTTTTCTGTGAGTTGATGGAGGGGACGAGCAATCTCTGCGAAGCCCCACACATATGGGGTGCCGTTTGTAAAGTGGCTCACGCTGAGAATAACATCAACATTTTGCCACATTTAGCTTCAAACAATGTTTAAAAAAGTGTTGTGAATTTTTTAACGTCACCTTTTACCACATTTACAGCAATATTTGTTAACTTAGAAATATATTAAATAGTTAAATCTAAATATTAAATGCAGCACCTAAATGTTAAATCTAAATATTAAATCTAAATCTAAATGTTAAATCTAAATGTTAAATCTAAATGTTAAATCTAAATGCTGAATCTAAATCTAAATATTAAATCTAAATCTAAATGTTAAATCTAAATATTAAATCTAAATCTAATCTAAATCTAAATGTTAAATGTTAAATCTAAATGTTCTGGGTGAAACTAAATATTTAGCTAATATGCAAAAAATAAAAGCTTGAGATGGTCAGACTGTGTTTATAGAATCAAATAACAAATTAAAACCAACTTATCAGGGGAAATGAACACTTGAACATACATTAGCGTGATAATAACTACCCAAAATAACAAGAAACATGTTTTGAGAAATTTTATTTGACGTGTACTTTGAGTTGTTAGTGTCCCTTCGGAGGGAATCGCCTTGTTGTTAACAAATACTTCCGGGTAGAAAACCAGGGAGTTTAGCTACACAC